CATTAAGTCAGTTGACCAAAAATCTGGTCAAACGGGAAGGTGTTAAGGTGTGTCTTAAAGGAGGAAACTGAGCTAGAGAGAGTAAGAATTGCAGCGAGGGAAATTCAGAGCTTGCGGCCTGAACAGCTGAAAGCATGGCCACCGATGTTGGAGCAATGTTGATTGGGCATGTGAAAGAGGTCAAAATTAGACAACCACAGACATTTTGTTGGGTTGTAGAGCTGTCCAAGATAGGGAGGGATGAGAGCATACTGGGATTTATAAACAACAATGAGAATTTTACAATCAGGAGTCTTTTTTTCAGTGCTGCAGGTCTCTATGTGATAGCTAGCACAAGGGGACATAGCTTTAAATTGAAGGGTAATAGATATAGGACAGATGTCAGAGGTAGGTTCTTTACTCAGAGAGTAGTAAGGGCGTGGAATGCCCTGCCTGCAAAAATAGTAGACTCGCCCACTTTAAGGGCATTTAAATGGTCATTGGATAAACATATGGATGATAATGGAATAGTTTAGGTTAGATGGGCTTCAGATTGGTTTCACAGGTCGGCGCAACATCGAGGGCCGAAGGGCCTGTACTGCGCTGTAATGTTCTATGTTCTATAACAATGAATCTATGCTTCAATGGCTGTCAAATTTCATTTTCAATATTTCTTCACTCTATAACTTTCTATGATCTTAATTTATTGAATTTGAATCAAGTGTCCTTTGCAAAATTCCCCAACACAACCACTAGCTACTGTACTGGCTTCAATGACATGATCATCCCAAGGATTTTGAAGAGGCAATTGATTTCACTGATATAAAACATTTTAGAACTGGCCTTGCCCAAGAAAACAGGCTATCTTTTCAAAAGATATTAGTTATATAATGAAAACCACTCTTACAGGAGAAGCAGGACAACAGGCACAACTTTAAAGGAGCTGTTGATTCATGTAGGCAATATACTTCTGAAGAGAATGATCATGTATTACAGCGAGGCTTTACAAATCCGGGTCGTGATCCCTACTAGGGACGTGAGTCAAGATTTTTGGGTTGTGAGATGTACAGCAGTAATGACAGAAATGGCCCAAGAGATAGATCGGTAAACTTTCTGTAAATAAAACTTATGACATGTAGGTTCTTGTTTTTATTGGACAAAAAAACCTGCAGTTTAAACAACTCTCACCACACTGAGCTCTTCCCCCAACCCCAGAGACTAACTTACCCTCACCCCCAGCTGTTGAACTGCACTGCATCCCTTGGGGTCACAAAAAGTCTAAGGTATTTAAATGGGGTCTTGTTATGAAAACATTTGGGATGTCCTGTATTATAGGCCACAGCACGACAGGACGACAAATATGGTGGCTGACTGCCATTTGCTTATGCTCACTGTTCTAAAGTGTCAAAATTTCATTGCTTCAAATTTTACAGATCACCTTGAAGTGCAATTATAGTTACGAGAACACAGACATCTCATAGACATAGATTTATACAGCACAGGTCCAATTCATCCATGCTGATGAGATATCCTAAACTGGTCTAGATCCAATTGACACATTTGGCTCTTTTCCCTTCGAGCCCTTTCGATTCATGTATCCGTCCAGATGCCTTTTACATGTTGTAATTGTACCAGCTTCCACCACTTCCTCTGGCAGGTCACTCCATACACGCACCACCCTCTGCATGAAAAGGTTGCCCCTCAGGTTCCTTTTAAATCTTTCTCCTCTTACCTCAAGTCTATGCCCTCTAGTTTTGGACTCCCCTATCCTAGGAAAAAGTCCTTGGTTATTCACTCTATCTACACCGCTCATGATTTTATAAACTTCTATAAGGTCACCCCTCAGCCTCCAACACTTCAGGGAAAATATCCCCAGCCTATTCAGCCTCTCCCTATGACTCAAACCCTCCAGTCCTGGCAATATCCTTGTAAATTTTTTTCTGAATCCTTTCAAGTTTAACAACATCTTTCCTATAGCAGGGAGACCAGAATTGAACACAGTATACTAAAGGTAGCCTAACCAATGCATCATAAACGTTAGCTTGGAGCTGCCTGTTCCTTTCCACATAATGCTAAACATCCTTTTGAAATAGATCAAGTGGGCAGGGTCTCAGTTTAAATGGTGTTAACATTTTGAAGACCTCTAATAGTTGAGAAAGAGGGGATTATTTCTTCCCATTGCAGAGTCAGTGACAAGAAGTAATCAACTTAAAACTGGCACTAAGAGTAAGGAGAGAGATTCGGAGAAATTGCTTGTTGTTGAATGGCATTCATTGTCACACGAAGTGATGGTGCAGATTCCAATACATTTGAATACGTATTTGAAAAGTTAACTTATGTTTACACAGCGTCTTTAACAGAGGACAGTATCCTAAAGTACTTCACAGGAGTACAATGAGACAGAAATTGACAATGCAATGTGTAATGGTAACGCACTGGTGTTCCACAGACCTAAGCTCTGGGAACTTGAGTTCAAATTGCACCACAGCAGCTGGGAAAATCTGAATTCAATGAATTACTTTTTTTACATTAAGTTTTAATGGGAAATTTCCCAAGTAGCCAGCAGTAGTTTTAGCTCAGTTTCACAAAGTCAGCCACCATTCTTTGAAGTGTTTTACTGTAAACGAAACGCACAGAGATCCTTATGAAAAACCTGATAATATACCAGATGAATGCACGCATTTTATCTTTATTTGGATTTCTCACTTCCTTTCTGACTCCTTTTAAAAATGATTGACTGACTCAACTTTAAGTGTTATATCTGTCATTTTGAGAACTGAGTGTTCCCTTTTTGTGGCATTAAGACGTCACTTTTAAATGTTAAGAAGCACTGTGTAGTTGAACAGGATATAAAATTCTGGTGGATAAAGTACAAATTATTCATATCAGTACCAAATCAATGTCAGCATCACTCAAATGAAACATCAGAAACCTATGTTAGACCTTGATGAGGGAAGTAAAAGTGAGCTAGAAGAAAATGCATCTCAAGGACCAATCGAGAAAAAGTTCAGACGCCATGATATTCGGACAAAGTTTCAGACTTACAAGTCACATATCATTTCAGGAAACTTACTTTTGTTGCTGACATAGACACTTTAAATTTGTGATCTAAACCAACTGTTTCTTGTTCATTTACAAAAAATAGCACACTGACTAATAAGTATGCCACTGGAAGTCAAACTGACACCAAGAAAAACATAACAGAAAATTAGCTAGATCAGCAAGAGAAAAAGTCCCTTCAATCACAGGTCAGCCAACATCATATAACCCAGAATTAATTATTAGTTCGCTGTTCAGTAAAATCTATCCGGAATCTATTTAAAACCATTAGAAAATGATGCCCTCAAAATTGAATGCTGTATCAGTTTTTTATGCTTAAACCAACAAATAAATTTAAAACATTGCAGCCAGCAAGCATGCATCAAATGCACTGCACATGAATAGGAAAGGTTTGCAGGGGTATGGGCTAGGAGCAGGCAGGTAATAGTTTCATTGGGATTATGTTTGGCATAGACTGGCTGGACCGAAGGGTCTATTTCCGTGCTGTATGACTCTGTACTGGATAAGGGGCGTATACTTTTGGATAGTGTGCACATAGCGATCATGTATAGTTCTGCCTACTCAAATTGGGGTGTTATGCAGGATCTACTTTCAATTTTGGAAGGCCTCACCACTTCACATCCTTGTGTCAAACACAATTCATAGTCATACAACACGGAAACAGACCCTTCGGTCCAACTCATCCACGCCGATCAAGTTCCAAACTAAACTAGTCCCACTTGCCTGCATTTGGCCCGTATCCCGTCGAACCTTTCTTATTCATGTACCTGTCCGAATGTCTTTTAAATGTTGTAACTGTACCTGCATCTACCACTTCTTCTGGCAGTTTATTCCACGTAAGAACTCCGTGTGAAAAAGTTGCCCCTCAGGTCCCTTTTAAATCTTTCTACTCTCACCTTAAAAACATGCTCTCCAGTTTTGAACGCCCCTACTGTGGGTAAAAAACCTTTGTTATTCACCTTATCTATGCTTCTCATGATTTTGTAAACTTCTATAAAGGTCACCACTCTTACACTCCAGAGAAAAAAAAGCCCCAGCCTATCCAGCCTCTCCTTGTAACTCAAACCCTTCATAGAATCCCTACGGTGCAGAAGCAGGCCATTCAGCCCATTTAGTCCATACTGACCATCCAAAGAGCATCCCACTCCCTTACCCAATCCCTGTAACCTTGCATTTCCTATGGCTAATCCATCCTGCCTGCGTATCCCTGAATACTATGGACAATTTAGCATGGCCAATCCACCTAACCTACACATTTCTGGACTGTGGGAGGAAACCAGAGCATCCGGAGGAAACCCATGCAGACGTGGGCAGAATGTGTAAACTCCACGCAGACATTTGCCCAAATCTGGAATCGAACGTAGGTCCCTGCTGCTGTGAGGCTGCAGTACTAACCAAAGAGCCACCATGCCACCCTTTCAGTTCCAGCAACATGCTTGTAAATCTTTTCAACTCTCTCCAATTTAATAATTTCTTTTCTAAAGCAGGGCAACCAGAACTATACACAGTACTCCCAAAGTGGCCTTACCAATGTCCTATACATCCTCAACAGAATAATGTACCGACCAGCAGGAAGGGACTCCTGATGACCAGAATTAAAACAATACATGTCACTTCCCACAGGGAATGGTTATCTCCCAACTGAAGCAGGGACACTCACCTCCTCTCAACCTCGTCCCCTACCCTCCCACATATGAGATTTACTGGAAGGCCAACAGTGAGCACAATTCACATTTCGATTCCCTGCCAGCCGTGTGCAGCCTCAATGAAATGAGGCATGAAATTCAAAATTGGTGACACCTCAGTTTTCAATATTCAGATGCAGTTATCTTTCCAAATACAGTAATTTCAAGGTCAATAAGTCCACTTGATTCTCAACATTTATTTTTCCAATTTCAATTTGATCATTTTCCCCTTGAGAACTTACAACAATTGTCCTTGAGAGGAACCTTTTAACTTACCAAGTGTAGGCACATCAAGGTTGTTGTAAACAGCATTTTTCAGAAGGTCTTGAAGGAAAGCCATTAAATAATTGAACACATTCTTATGGATTTGAGGTAATGTGGCAACAACCTTCAGGAGGAAAAGGTAAAGAAATGTAAAACACGTGATGTTGGGTAAAGTGCACTCAGTTTACTAAAAGTACAAAATTATTCTTCTCACTCAGTGTACAGTTGGAAGATTAATCCATCAACAACAAAAAAGCATGTATAGAGCCCTTACAACATTGAAAATCATTCCTTGGTACTTCCTTGGGAAGAGAAAAGTGGATGCCAATATTTACAGGATAGTTAGAAGAGATTAGGGAAAGTTTAGTGAGATGACTGTGCAATTCCACTACTGAAGATTTTAAAGAAAAAAAATGTTGACATCTCTGCTTCAAAAATCTCTAATTTGAAAACCTGAAGTTAAATCTGAACAGTCCCTTAAAGATGGAAGTTACAGCAGACTGTCCTTATGCCAGGCTGGTTCAAAGCCTAATACTGTATCTCATCAATCACAAGGAGACATTTAGAATTTGATTAGCCCTTGGACAACACAATGAGATATTCTGAATGGTGTGAGAATTCAAATCTTCTGGGAAAATAAGAGACAGAAAAGGTCATCAACAAAATTAACTACTTTTGTTAGGCAATGGTTCAATATAAATTAGCACAGCAGCTATTTTGCTTTGTTTGAGATAAAGGCAGGTTGTGAAAATCATTTTGCGCAGAACCATCAAGGAAGTACTCTTGAGACACAGCATCAGAGGGGGTTTTTGGCCAAAGGGAGCACAAGGAACAAGGCCATCAAGAATTAATTGCTGTTTTGATGGAAGAGTCCAGGCAATCTGCAAGTGTCATAACCACAGAACCAGTGAAGAATAAGAAACCTTCTCTCCTTTGCCCCAAATCCTGCTGAATTCACCTGCACAGCCAAACACTGACTATTCGCCTATAGAAAGCAACATATCTTCAGAATATGAATTCAGGTTTAAATATGTTTGCTTCAGAAAGAGAAACTTGAAGTAGTAACAGGCCTTCAATGATCTTCAAAATTGACTTTTCTTTTATCTCTAAAGCATCTTTTATCATTACCTACTTTTCATCTTCCGACATGTATATTTAGTTAATAACATTATTACTTTTAAGTGAATAACTATAACAATTATTTTTCAATAATCTTCATCTTGTTTAATACTTAAACTTTTCTGCTGGTCATTTCTAAATTGAGATACTCAAAAATTTAAAAATGGTTACAAACAAACTTTTAAAAAATTCTTTGTTCATGGAACACTCTTAGGACATGCCTGGTTTATAGTGGCGACATTAGTCAAAGGATGGATTTTGACAAATGTTTCTAAAGTAGCAGGGGAAGCTAAGAGGTGGAAGAACTTTATAATGAGCTCCAAGATAGCATGGCAAAGGCAGGTGAACACAGTAAGGACAAAAACTAGTGAAGGGAATGCACTGCGCAGAAACCAAAGTCTAAATGCTGGGAGTGGTCAGGGTGTTACATTTAAGGAGCTGATGGAGGTAGGTACTTAAAACTAAATTTTGGGTCATGAGAAGCCAGTGTAAGGCATCAAAAGTCTAGGGTGATGACTGAGTGAGCAGCAAGTGGAGCAGGGAAGTTTTGAACAATTTTAAAATTACGGAGATTGGAAGGACCAGCGAATGGAAACTGGAGAAGTCAAGGGTAGACAAGACAATATTAGAAAAAGAAGTTGCTCAATGGAGAAAAGTGTTGTAGAGATGGAAAACGTTTTCTTAATTTCTGCCTGCCATTCAATTAGATCATGATGGATCTGATCTTAACTCCAACTATTTCCCTTGGCTTCATAGCTCTTAATTACCTTGACAAACAAAGTTTAGCAATTTCAGTTTAAAAATTTTGAATCGACATCGAGCCTCAATGGCTTTTTGAAGCAGAGTGTATCATATTCCCATTCCTCATTGTATGATTACCTGCCTATCATCACATCTGAATTATCTTGCTTGAAATTTTAGCATTATGCCCCTTTTGCTCTCGGTGCTCCCCCAAAGGAAGTAGATTTTGTCGACATACCCTATTAAACCCTTCAATCACATTGCTAAATTGTAAACAATGTGGAAAATTGCCCATAAACTGACTAAACATTCAGTATCTCTTCATAGATGGTCAAGTGAAACTCCAACTATAACCCTTCACCTGCATGTAATAAAACACAATTAATATACAATTAAGCAGCAGGTGCACAGCCATCTCTAAGCCACACACCATTTGGACTTGGAAATGGTTACTGTTCTTTCATCATCCATCAATCAAAATCCTGGAACTTGTTCACTAACAGCGTACTAAATGCATCACAGAAGACTATAACAGTTCAACGAGGTGGCTCACCATCATTTTTCAAAGGGAATTAGAGATGGGTAATAAATGCTGACCTTGACAGCAATATCCACATCCCATAATTCCATAGATTCATCAATTGTTCTTCGATATTCAGAGAGTAACAGAGATATACAGCATGGAAACAGACACTTCAGTCCAACTTATCCATGCTGACCAGATATCCTAAATTAATCTAGTCCCATTTGCCAGCATTTGGACCATATCCCTCTAAACTCTTCCTATTCATATACTCATTCAGATGCCTATTAAATGTTGTAATTGTACTCATTTCCACCACTTCCTCTGGCAGTTCATTCCATACACGCACTACCCTCTGCATGAAAGAAGTGCCCACTAGGTCCCTTCTAAATCTTTCCCCTCTCACTTTAAACCTATGCTCTCTAGTTTTGGACTCCCCTTCCCTGGGAAAAAGACCTGGTTATTCACCCTGTCCAAGTTGCTTAGACAGAGGCTGTCACCCCTCAGCCTCTGTCACTCCAGGAAAATAGCCCCAGCCCATTCAGCCTCTTCCTATAGCTCAAATCCTACAACCCTGGTAACATTCTTGCAAATCTTTTCTGAACCCTTTCAAGTTTCACAACATCGTTCCTATAGCAGGGAGACCAGAATTGAACACAGTATTCCAAAGGTGGCCTAACCAATGTCCTATAGAGCCGCAACATGACTTCCCAATTCCTATACTCAATGCACTGACCAATAAAGGCAACCATACCAAATGCCCTCCTCACTGTCCTATCAATCTGTGACTCCAGTTTCGAGGAACTATGAACCTGCACTGCAAGGTGTCTTTGTTCAGCAACACTCCCCAGGACCTTACCATTAAGTGTATATGTCCTGCCCTCATTTGCCTTACCAAACTGCAGCACCTCACATTTATCTGAATTAAACTCCTTCGGCCACTCCTTGGCCCATCTGATCAAGGTCCTCTCTGAGGTAACCTTCTTCGCTGTCCACTACACCACCAATTTTGGTGTTATCTGCAAACTTACTTACCATAACTTATATGTTCACATCCAAATCATTTAGATAAATAACAAAAAGCAGTGGACTCAGCACCAATCCTTGTGGCACACTGCTGGTCACAGGCCTCCAGTCTGAGAAGCAACCCTCTACCAGCACCCTCTGTCTCCTATCTTCGAGTCAGTTCTGTATCCAAATAGCTAATTCTCCCTATAGCCCATTGGATCTAACCTTGCTAACTAGTTTACCATGCAGAACCTTGTCAAACTTCTTACTGAAATCCATATAGATCACATCCACTGCTCTTCCTTCATCAATCCTCTTTGTAACTGCTTCAAAAAAACTCAATCATCTAAACATAGGTCTCAGCTATGCCAACTGTCCTCATTACTTAAATCTTTTTATCCCCAGTATCGTTCTTATGAATCCATACTGCAGTCTTCATCATAAATTCACAGAGTCGTACAGCATGGAAATAGACCTTTCGATCCAACCAATCCATACTGAACATAATCCCATACTGAACATAAGCCCAAACTAAACTAGTCCCACCTGCCTGCTCCTGGCCCACATCCCTCCAAATCTTTCTTATTCACGTACTTATCTAAGTGTCTCTTAAACATTGCAACTATACCCACATCCACGACTTTCTCATGAAGTTCATTCCACATGTGAACCCACCCTCTATGTAAAAAACTTACCCCTCATGTCTTTTTAAAATCTCTCTCCTCACCCTAAAAATATGTCCCTTAGTCTTGAAATCCCCCCATCCTAGGGAAAAGACACCTACCATTTAACACTATCTATATCCCTCAGGCTCTTCATGGTAAATATAAAATTTTACTGATGTTGTGTCCAGAACGGAAAACAGTATTCTAAACAGGATCAAAGCATAGTTTTGTATGACAATGACTTCCACCTTCTTGTATTGCAGGCTCGTTCAGTTAAACAGTAACGTACCTTTCATCTTTTTAATTACTTTCTATACCTATCCACTTGTTTGTGATATTTGTACTTTGATCCATAAATCTCTCTGCTCACCTGCATTTGCTCAGGACCAAGAACATATCTCATTTTAAACTCTATTTCCCACAGTTCGGCCCATTCACGTAGTCTATCAAAGTCCCTTTCTGTACTGTGTACATTCAAGAAAGGTATGCGAACTTGAGACAGTTTGTCAATTAAGGATCCTGACTGAAAGATTCTTACAGAGGACCAAGAAGATACTTGGCTGTTTTATAGATTTCAAGGAAGTTTTTGACAGAGTGCGCTATAATAAATTAATTGAGATTTTTGAAGCCAGATAAGATAGTGAGGGACTTTTTGCAATCTTGTGTTGGGAACACTGAACAGGAATGAATGCACAAGAAACAGGAGCAGGTGTAGACCATACAGCACCCTGTGCCTCTTTCACCACTCAATACAATCACCACTGATCATGGATCTTCTCTCCGTTTTCTCTCCCATTCCCCATACCCTTTGATGCCAAAATGAACAAAAATCCATTAAACTTAGCATTAAATATATTCATTGGTAAAGCATTCGCAACCCTTTTGGAGTAAAGAATCCCAAAGATTCACAATGTGACATTTCAGTCCTAATGATACAACTTTATAACCTCCTTGCTTTTACACACCATTTATAAGAGATCCTGTGTACCTTTTTAACTACTTTTTCAACTTGCCCTGCCACCAACAATTCACTACAATGTCAGATGTGAATGGGAGGTTTATGTGATTGCAATCCTCTGATTTGCTTAGAATTACCTCAAATAATCACACCGGGAACACATGCAAATTGCATTTGCCTTGAAGAAGTGGATTTTGCTCTTTACCTGTTCACTCTGAGCGTAACTACACGAACTCTCCAAACATTTCTTGTAGAAGTTGTAAGGGATGACTGGCTCTGGAAGGGCATCCAGAAAGAGCAACAGTGCTTCAGTTACAGAATGGTTACTGCCAGCTGTAAACCCAAGTCAAAGAAAAATGCAAAGTACCTAATTCTACACAGAAAATATATTCGTCAGCTTCACTGTAGAAATTATCTTAAGCAGGGAAAGGCAAGTTTAAAAAGTATCACTATAATAGTGACTAGAATCCCTTCCAACCTACTAGTACTACACAAATAAAAGTTAAAAGTCAGCTGATCCAGAATTTTCATAGTACGTTTGCACTGGTGCCTCTCCATCGCATTTTGTTAATAGAAGTGCTGGAATTGCAATTGCTTTTTGCGCAAACCATTGCCACAATTGTCATCCTGAAGTTCTACTCAGGCATTATTATGTGTAAAGATTGCTGCTGCGTATCCCTGCCACGACCCATCTAAAGGAGATGAATATTATGATGGATAGTCTCCTCCCTTTCACACGGTATACCTCATTCTATACTTTATGTTAATGGAGTACAGAATATAACCAATATTATTCTAACACAACTTTTAATATGCATGTATGAAATTGCTGTGTAGACTTTTTTTAAAATAGAGGCTGTTACCAATTTAAAATAAAGCAATTAATGACTAGCTTCAGGTAGCATGAAAAGAATTTACTACAAGTGTGCTGAACAGTGATGATCAGAAAAGTATAAACAAAATGCGAAACAATGGATTCTAATTAAAAATTTTGTATTTCTCCTCAAGGCATCCCAACGCATCTCAAAGCTAATAAATAGTTTTGAAGACGAGGTGCTGTTTCATTACAAAAAACATCCTGAATCTCCAGATCTGTGTTATACTTCCAAGAGATCTCCTTGTGCACCTTTCATGGTACACACGCTCTCTGATTCTCCAAAGACCAGAAAATGTGGGCTGTTTTGTTTATGTATACACACAAATACGCTGCTTTTGTCCAGTTAAAAAGCTAGTTAAAGGTCAGATGCTGGGGGCATCAAAACAACACAGCTGCTGTTTTGTCATAGAGCCATACAAGTTTCAAGCGTGGAAGTGATCATTCAAACCATTGTGCTTAAGCTGGCTCTTTGCTCGAGTACTGACATGAGAAACCGCATGCTCACGGACATTAAAAACTTAATCTTTCCAAGAGTTTTGTGGCTGCATTCCTCTTGGATCATAAACAAGATACAGATCATATTCAATTAGCATGAGGTATATAAAACTTAGTTTTCACGAGTTCTACATTTTTCAACTGCCTCACGACCTACAACCAATTCTGATAGTGAAGTACAGAGTAATACAGCACAGAAAGAAAAAAAAATTGTTTGGAAGAGTTACCCAATTCGTCTCTCTTCCCCAAAGTTGCTCTTTAAGTACTTACCCAATTTCCTTTTGAAATTTATGAGTGAATTTTCTTCTATTGCCTTTTCAGGCAATGCATTTCAGAATATAGCAACTTAAAAAAAAAAATTCTCATCTCATTTCTAGTTCTTCAGTGTTCAATCTGGGTCAACTGTTTAACAAATTTTCAGCAACTGAAATCAATACCATTCATGTTGTGAACATTTTTATTAAATCTTCCCAGATTTGGCCAAATTATATAAACTTGGGCTGATCTAATGATTAAACAAACATTTTGTACAGCCTTGCATTACAAAGGTAAGCACCCTGTACAATTTTTCGAACTTCTTTATAAATTTTCCTTATCGCATTCATATTTTGTGTACATACACACCACCCCATGTTTCTCTGTTCCTGCACCCCCTTTAAAATTGTACCATTGACAGTCATTATGAGTTACAATTTAGCAAAGGATACGGAGAAAATCTGGGATTCCAGTATCTAAACAGTCTCGTATTTCCTCAAATTCTGACTTCAGTCCTGGCTGTTGGAACAGGTCACCCTACAAACAACAAATCCATGAAGAGCAGGGTGAAAAGGAGCAGGAAAATAGAGACTGAGACTCATAGTTTGGAATTAATTATTATTACAATAAACATGTTTTTCTGATGAGACCTGGAGTGAAGCATTGCGGTGCAGATGGTCAACCAACATCCAGATTTCTTTAGGGATGTCAAGTGGCTCTTCATTTGCTAAGCTGTCAAAAGGTCCATTCTCCTTTACCATTCTTTCCTGCAAAGTAAATAAATTCATGTTGAACATTTACCACTGTGGAAATAAAGTACATTTTTCATCTGCCCAACAATAATGCCATTTCCACTTATTTTAGGATAAACAGCAGGTTTCATCATTCATTGCAAGATGTGGCTGGTTCACAGAACACATGATGAGCTGCTCTTGACAGCTGATGTGACTCATTATAATAAGACCATTCTTTGCATAGAATCATAGAATTCCTACAGGCCATTCAGCCCAACAAGTCCACACTGACCCCTCCGATCCCACCCAGTCCCATTTCTCCACTGTAAACTTTCTTCTTAAACTTCTTTCTTTTATCTCCTCCATGCTCACCTCCAACACTAATTGTGAGGGCCTCAAAGATAGCCATTTTTGTCATGTTCCTCCTTTCCACTAACCCAACTGGCTAAGTGCCTGCTGTCCTAGACTTGAATTTGAATCTTTCTCTAGTTTATTGTTCATCTGCCCTCATGCCCGCTCCTAGCTCGTCCTTGAATGTGTAGTCACCTCCAAAATTGATTTTAAGTCATTCCTCGAACTCCATTTTTGTATACCACCAATCAGGTCTCTACTGTCCCTCACTGTATGGATACAGCTCTTAACAAATTAACAATGACATTCTACGCCTGTGATTTTCAACCAATGTGCCGTGGAACACTGTAAGATCTGCCCAAGAGTGCTGTGGAATTTTGTTCAAACGTAATGAAAATCAATGAAAACATTGTTTCATCTTCAACAATATTCTAGCCAACTATAATTACAAAGTATGAAACCTGTGAAAATTAACCTATTTTTCTAACCAACCTATTCAGAGATGTTTTTACACACCTTCGAAGCAGGTGGGACTTGAACTGGGGCCTCCTGATCCGGGATAGGGACACTACCACTATGCCACAAGTTGGCCCAAGAAAAGGAGCATATCAGATATTAAACTGACAAGAGCAGAAACTACACATTCATCGAATTAAAAACACAGCATTAGTCTTTGATTGTAAGACACAACATTCGAAATGTATGTGGTCAAAGGGCAAAACTGAGATGATGTGAAAAAATAGAACTGTTTGTCCCAATGAAGTGTGCAGTGTTACTGAGAAGGTTAGGAACAATTGTTCTACGTGACTGCGTCGAAGGTAAACCTTACCCCCTTGTCCTTCTCAACCTGTCTGCTGTCTTCGACATAGTGAACCACACCATCCTCCTCCCGATGCCTCACCAGTGATAACCAGCTGGGTATAACTTGCTCTCAGCTTGTTCCACTCTGATCTATCTAATCAAAGCCTTTTCCCTTCTCTTTTCTGTTTGTCCAAATTAAATCTTAATTCTGAAAAACATGACAAAATTTAACTTTTTCATGATGTCTTGCCCAATGTTTGGCCCTTTGAAACTGTATTTACTTCTTTGCCTCAACCTCTGCTGTAAGTCAGATTTGCAGATGATAACCACATTGTGGAAGACTACCTCTGGTGGTGAAGTTTAAGCAAATCAAGGTTCAGGAAGTGAGTCATAGGTGTAGCTAGTTAAAGACCAAACTATTATCGTTTCTGAGAAACTCAAGATGAAAGCATGCGCTCAGGATCAAAGAAATTAAACTGCAAAGATAACAAAATATTTAGCCCAAAGCATTACTATAATTGCCATGCTTACAAGCGACTTTCATGTCCTGGGGACAAACAAAGCACTTCACAATCATTAAAGTACTTCTAAAATGCTTTTTGTGTCTCTATGTAGAGAAATGTCAGCTGATTTGTGAAAGGTAAGGTCCTGCAAAAAGCAAGATGTGCAATAAATAATACTTATTATTTATAATAAGACACCTACTGCTCCATTCCCCACAATCAGACCACAAGGCTGTGCTCCATCTCCCGGCTTACAAGCAAAATCTGAAGTGTGAGGATCAGTACAGAAAGTTGGACAGTGCTGGTCTGAGGTAACAGACGAGCTCCTACGCAACTGCTTGAGGTCAATGGTCTGGTCCATGTTCAAGAACACAACGGCCAACCTAAATGAGTATGCCACTACTATCGTAGACTTCATCAAGTAAGTGTGCAGAGAATTGCGTGCCAAAGAAGTTAATCCAAGCGTTCCCCAAGTGGAAACCTCGGATGAGCCAGAAGATCCACTCGTTACTGAAGTCCAGGTCAAGTCGAGTGATCCGGACCTACACAGGAAATCTAGGTACAATCTTCACAGAGCCATTTTCGGACGCCAAGAGACTACACCAGATTAACCACACACAAGTACGTCAATTGTGGCATGGCTTACACAATATAACAGGTTACAAAGCGAAGTCGAATAGCATCGCTGGCAACGATGCATCCCTCCCTTGTGAGCTCAATGCATTTTGTGTCTGTTTCGAACAGAAGGTCAGTGAAATTATGTCACCTGCCACAATGGCCTCAGGTGTACTGGTATCCACAGACACTGCTGCAGACGTTAGACTGGCCTTCTCCAGGGTGAACCCACGGAAAACGACTGCCCAGATGCAGTCCTCAGCCATACACTCAGATGCTGCATGGATCCACTGGCAGGTGTATTTCTGGACATCTTTAACCTCTCCTTACTCCAATGTGAGGTTCCCACATGCTTCAAAAAGACCACTATCATCCCAGTGGCAAAGAAAAATCAGGCAACATGCCTAATGACTACCACTTGGTGGCTGTGACATACATCATTATAATATTTGAGAGATTAGTCATGGCACACATCATCTCCAGGCTCCCAAATTACCTTGATCTGGTACAATTCGCCTACCATTACAACAGGTCCACAGTGGTACAATTCGCCTACCATTACAACAGGTCCACAGTAATTACCTACACTCATCTCTGGAACATCTAATAACCAGAACATCTACGTCAAACTCCTATTTACTGACTTTAGCTCCATGTTCAGCTCCATAATTCCAACAAAACTCACCTCTAAACTCCAACACATAGCACTCTGATCACCCCTCTGCAACTAAATTCTTGACTTCATAGACCACAATCGGTAAGGATAGGCAACATCACCTGCTCCCCAATAATCGTCAGCACTGGTGTCCCACATGGTGGTGTACTCAGCCCCTTACTATACTCCTTATACACTCACAACTGTGTGTACAAATTCAGCTCTAACTCCATTTACAAATTTGCTGAAGACACCACCATAGTGGGTTGGATCTTAATCAATAATGAAACGGAATATGGGAAAGAGATAGACAGCTTAGTGGCATGGTGTAAAGACAACAATTTCGCTCTCAATGTCAGGAAAACGAAGGAGCTTGTAATTGACTTCAGGAAGCAGAGTGAAGGACATGCCCCTGACTGTATCAATGGTGCTGAAATGGAGGTGGTCAAGAACTTGACGGTCCTAGGAGAAAATATCGTCAACAAACTGTCCTGGACCATTGATATCAAAGCTAAAGTGAAGAAAGCACACCAATGCCTCTGCTTCCTCAGAAGGCCAAGGAAATTCTGCATGTCCACAATGACTTAGACCAACTTTTATAGAGGAACCATACAAAGCATCCTATTCAGATGCATCACACCTTGGTATAGCAAATACTCTGTCCAAGATTACAAGAAATTACAGAGAGATGTGAACATTGCCTAGTCCATTACAAAAATCAGCCTTCCTTCCATTGACTCCAAGGGATGGGAATAAAATTGTCGCTATTAAGAGCTGCTCTTTTTTTGAGGTATTTTCAGTGTTGGGGCTTATTTCTGTGAATTTTTGGAGAAGTAATTACTGTTTTATAAGCTGTTGCATTGTTTTGGAACTTTGGAAAAAGAATCAAAGCAACAGCACGTTAAAAAAAGGAGGAAGAGAGAGTATGCAGGGACCACGTGGGATGTGAGAAAAACTGAGAAATAAACCTATACAGCTGTCTGATCCAGCAGTGAACCTGCACAGCTACTGCCTCTACTGCTTAGTAACAAGTATCTTTGGACTTTGGATATTGTTCTAAGAAAAATAAACAAACAGTGAAATTCACGGCTAACCTTGGGGAGAAACTTGTATGGGGAGCTCACAGCAGGGGCAGAGTTAAGTGGCTTTTTTTTTTAAAAAGTATGACCTTTTTATTGGGTTTTTTTCATAAATCTACAATAGTGAGTAGAGTGGGTTTTTTTTATTATATGTTCTACTGAGATCTGTCTCTTGATTGAACTTTAAAAATATAAAACATAGATGCTAAGTTATTCTGAAACAGTGTTTTTAGAGCAGTAAGACAGTGCTATTTTCTGAGTCTATAGATTGTTAAGGTGCAAAGATAACATTTAGTAGAATAATGTGCTTTTTCTCCCTGTTGGGTGTGGGAGATTAGGTAGAACTTCAATGTTACTGATGATTATGTCTACAGGGAGTATATTTGGTTGCGAATCCTGTTGGATCGCATGGACTGGTTAGAGCAGTAGTTAGATGCAATGTGGAATTTACAGGTGATGGCAGTGTGATGGACAGCAGTGCTGATACAGTTAGGTAGATGGTTACCTCCACGAAAGGTAGGAGGGGTAGACAGGTATTGCAGGAGTCTCCTGTGGTTATTCCCATCTCAAACAAGTCTGCTGTTTTGGAAAACATAGGGGGTGATAGACTCTCGGGGGAATGTAGTACTGACAGCCAGGTTTCTGGTACCAAGCCTGGCTCTACTGTAACGAGGGATACATCAGGTTCCAAGCGATCAATCGTGAGAGGGGACCCTCTAGTCAGAGGCACAGACAGACGTTTCTGCAGCCAACAGCGAGACATCAGAATGGTGTATTGCCTCCTTGGTGCCAGGATCAAGGATATTTCAGACAGGATGCAGAATATTCTCAATAAGGAAAGGGACCAGCAGTAGGTTGTTGTACACATTGGAACTCATGACATAGGACATGAAAAGAACACAATTCTGAGGAGAGAATATAGGAAATTAGGCAGGAAGCTAAAAAGTAGGCCCTCAAGAGTAGTAGTATCTGGATTACTCCTGGTGCCACGAGCTAGTGAGGGTAGAAACAGGAGGATTGAGTAGATGA